CAGAGGTCCAATCTTCGAGGAGGATTGACCGTCATTTGAATATTATGGCATGCTTATCTTGCTGTTTATCGTCTGGCACTGGGCATGCTGGATGATTTGCACGAAGCGATTACTGGATACCGCGCTGTTGGCTTGAATATGGTCGTTTATTGGGGGGTGATTTTTTTCCGGTGCTCTTATTCCGTAATGAATGGGGGTCTATGCTTGTTCTCTTCATATCCGACTGGACTTTTTCAGTTTAGTGGGATCATGAAATATCATCTCATACCAGAGTAGGAGAAGAAGGGTGAATGTTGGACTTCTAACGCTGAGTGCTAGTTATGTCTTGAGGGTTGGGCCCCTAAGTATATTTGGAGGAGGATCATAAGTTGGAGGAGAGAAAAGACTGCTAACAATGGGAACTGCTACGTTGGGTAAGGGGGTTCATTTCGTGCGCTGTTTGCTAAGGGGACTGGAATTGGGTTTGTGAGGTGGGCGTTGCTCGTAAGAATGCTGTATCGCTCGCTCGTTATTGATGCTAATACCGTATAGTAGGTGACTGTCCCGCCATGCTAGCGCCGAAGTCTTTCTGGGTCGGATCGCGTTGTTTCTGCGCTATTTCACTAGAGTACGGTAGAGAGATCTCACCGCCCAAGAAATTGGTTCTCTTTACCTTCTGCGTTGAAAACTTCTCACAACTCCTCAGTACAAGATAGGTGAAGGCTACCTGATTCTGCTTTTTTCTCTCTTTCTTCTCTCACTTTTTCTCTCTTTGTCTCCGGGCGTGCGCATATACGCTTGTTCGGCCAAACGGCGAGTTCCAGGAGGGGAGGTTGGGGACAAAATGATTGTGAATGAGAGAAATGCAAGAAACATGCCAGAAACGAACAAAAAAAAAAGAGGTCCTTCCATTCTGTTCATACAATTACAGAACCTATTACATCATATCCTAGGTTAATCCATGAGAAATATCCATATACCTGCGCGACTCTTATAGCTTTCGATCCTCCGAGCCGCGAGACATTTGACCTCTATCTTCTTGGGGGGGAAGAATGGGCCTCTAGAACGTGGGTTATATATCTGCGGGCCCATCTTTCGGTAGTTATCGCAAACTCCGATGCCCTTGACACCGGCAACTATGGTAGTGAATACCATAACTGGGTCACTAAGCTTATCCCCATTTATGAGACTTTGGAAAACTTCTGGTACGATACAGTACAGTGAACAGCATGACATACTTGGACTTACCTTCAATGGAGCTTTATAGGATCTACACACCCGCCTAGCACAATGCCTACTGCAGTCTAGGTAGCTCGCCTCCCCCCCACCCCGCATTTTTGGGGAATGAAGAAGCTCCTGTTGAGTGATACTGTACCTTCATGGCTCCAAGTTCACATGAATGGGATTTTAGGCTTGCCCGTGGCAGACCGAGACCACATTTACCAAATTTACGGTGCAGTCTTTACGTGCGCTCGCTCTTATTATGTCGTGAATTCGCCCCTAGTTTAATCCTTTGGCGTCACGAACTATCACTCTTGTTTTGTCCACGGTTCTGGTCGGTGTCACGGGTGGGAAAAAATGGTTGGAGCAAGTTTGGCTGAGTTGCTATGCACAAGCGCCTGCTTATCGCCACCGCATGTATGGAATTTTAATCTTAGTATGATAGCAAGTTTTAACATGCTGGTGCCTTCCGCATATGGAAATCCAGCGTGCTGACAACTTACGACTGGGAGGGGGGGCACATTCCGCTGTTCCACCTGAAGTGCAAGCAAGCCCCACCAGTGAGTTTGGAGGGGTATGATACATGTACGGGATGCATTCCATCTGATATCGTATCACGGGTGGGCACTACCTCGATGAATATGTGTGTGTCACTATCGTCTCTTAAGAATGCCTAAGATATGGAAGAGTTGGGTACTGTACCGGACTCGAGTATTCATTCACTCACACCTGAATCCGGAGCGATTAACTCTCGGAGGGATTTTTATCCGCTGCGACAAATCCCTATACCGGTAATGCTAAAGAATCGGGTCCCTAAGAAATGTCTGGCCCATGGGGCGTTGGGGGCGCACAAGTATGCCCAATCGAGGCCATGTACTTGTACCAGTGCGCTGAGTAGATACTGATAGTGGAGATTTCCTAAGTCGTAAGGGACATCCCGAACATTGGTAGCCTATCAAGGCGGCATAGTCCACCATATAATTTAATGTAACTTCGCACGTAATCTCTAATCCCATCGCACTGTATTAAATTCCCTTTTACGGTGCTCGTTCCGATAGCAACATACCCCGGATTTTCCCTCTCATCGGATACGGTACGGTGCCAATACCGCTAACCTGAGCTAAGTTTAGTGGCTGGTGCATCTGTGGCACGTGGCGGTGCACATACCCAGCAACACCTTTCAACTTCACCTTCTCAACAACCTTCCGAGCTCATTTTCCTTCCCCTTTTCCCAAGCCTCCAACCGACTTTACCTCCCAACATTCCCGTTCTTCAACCTCACCTACACGAAACCGACACCCTGCCCCCTGTCCCACTCCCCCACCTCAGCAATGGCAGCTTCAGCGGGTTCGTATTCGAATCCATTAAAGAAGTTCAAGTAGCTATTCTCCGTCAGCGGTTTCGTTCGCTCTTGCAGTTCGCTAATTTTTGGGTCCTTGCGAATAGGCTGGTTTTCCTAGGAGAACAGAGCGGTAATTTTGCCCCCGCATCACGACAGGAAGGAGGCGAAGAGAGAAGAGGGGAGGGACTAATTTGTTCGTGTGGGGGTGGAATATAGTCGGCAAAACGTCACTGATAACCAGGTTCATGTACGACTCTTTCGATAACATGTACCAGGCCACTATTGGGATCGATTTTCTGTCAAAGGTAACCCCCGGATCCCATATTCGCTACATTCTCTACCGGCCGGTTCATGCGGGTGAACTAACGTGGGCCGTGCACTAGACAATGTACCTTGAAGACCGAACCGTCCGTCTCCAACTCTGGGATACCGCTGGTCAAGAACGCTTCCGTTCTTTGATCCCCTCGTACATCCGTGACTCTAGCGTCGCGGTAGTGGTCTACGATATCACCAGTATTGCCCTCTTCCGATCCTACTTGCTGCTCTTGAGGCTAATACGGGGTAGACCGCACATCCTTCCAAAACACCACCAAATGGGTCGATGATGTTCGTGGCGAACGTGGAAACGACGTAATAATAGTGCTTGTGGGGAACAAGACGGATCTTAACGACAAGCGGCAGGTTACTACCGAAGAGGGCGAGAAAAAAGCCAAGGAATTCAAGGTTATGTTTATCGAGACTAGCGCTAAAGCTGGACATAATGTCAAGACTTTATTCAAGAGGATCGCACAGGCGTTGCCGGGAATGGAGGGAACATTGAATGAGCCTAATTCTGAGAGTATGTTTCTCTATCGTCGGAGTTGGTGAAAGATGAGGACTAATAGATGCGGCTATAGTGATTAATGTTGATATCGACCGGAACGATAGCACGCAAGCGGACGGTTCCTGTTCTTGTTAATTCAAATACCTTATAAACGGTTTTTGGGGGCTTTTCTTCGTTGTAAGATGGGATTACAAAGTAATTTTTGTTTGTCTCTCCTTGGTTAGCTTTATTATTTTAAACTTTCTTCTTCTCACATTGTCAAAAAGACCGTATATCATGGATTTTCACTTGTTCCACTTTGATTGTTACGACAGTCTAAGTGGTACATGAACCTACGGACTTTTCTGGCATGACGATGGTCTATTGACAAACCCCTATGGCTTTTTTGAGGGCAAAAACAGGTGTGATACGAGTGATACCGAGTGAAGCATATTAAGAATAATCCCAAACTCCCAAATAGAAACGACTGCGACGATAGCGGTGCGAGGTGGTGTAACTGTGTGGTAAATATCTAAGTTACCAAGTGTGATGCGACAAAGTCCTGCTCACCACGTCAGCCATTGTTGGCAATTAGAGAATAGAAAGGGGGGGAGAGGGGGCAAACTACCGGATAATCGCTCTGTAACATACTGGTGATATTCTCCACCTCTAAGGCCAAAGCGGCAACGTTCTCATCCCACTTTCTAATCTGCCTGCCGACGACCACGCCGCCAGCCCCGCCACTACCGCCACTCTCGAAGTAGATCAACCCATCAATCTGATCTATCTGGCCATTCATGCGCTTCTGCTCGATCATCCTGGCAGCGTACTCCTCCGCCTTCTCACCAGACAAACCAAGAAGTACGCCAAGCTCCTCCACCCCAATGTTGTTGTAAAGCCTCGAGGCAGCAAGCAAATTATGCTCGATAACAGCCTTGGAAAGTACCGTGGTCCCGTCGCTCTGCAAGGCTTTCTGATGAGGGCGCAGGCGCGCTGCAAACTCCTCCACCTCCTTGGCGGAGAGTAAGCGATCGAGATACATCTTCTCTAGGAGCGCATAGTCACTGTGCAACTGCGGGGCGCGCTCGTCCTTATACAGCGTTGCCAAACTCCTACTACGCAGGGGCCCGGCCGGTGCCAAAATCGCGCAAGTCATGGCAGCGCTCAGGCACTGCAACTTATCCGCCTCCGCGACAAGGTTCGAGAACGAGAGGAAGTGGTACTTGGAGCACGCGTTCAGGAACTGCCGCTTCGCGTCGAGTATGCGAGCCTGACACATGGCAAAGTTCAGATTGAGGCTGGCATCCGTGCTCTTGTGTATGATGAGGGTGGCACGGTTGAGCCAGCTGTCGGCGGATATGCTCTCGTCGTCCTCCAGCAGGTTGCGCATTATCCGGATGTACACTTCCAGTCTGAACTCGTCCGTGATCTGCCGCTGGTGCGGGTTTAGCTGGATGCCCTCAAGCACCCGCGCCGCCTGCGCATTGTCCTCCGAGGCTTCGTGTAGGGTTGCAAGGGCCAGGCGGATTGTGCAGTCTGCTTGCTCAAAGGAGACGATCTTTGGCGAGATCTTGTCCAGCGTGTAGGTGTAGAGGGATTTCTGCAGCTCCGGGGCGAGGGACGGTAGCGTTTGGAGGTATTCGCTTAGCACCGGGCGGCTGGTCACTATGCCTACGTTGTCGCTGAGGATCGTGTCCACGAAGGCTTTTAGGTTGGCTTCCAGGCTGGCTGCTGGGGAGTTTGTGAGGATTGGCTGGAGGAGGGCGATGAAGGAGTGGGATTTGTCGCCCTGTGAGGCCGAAGAGGTTTCGATAGAGGTGAGCTGAGAGAGGACCTCGGGGGATGCCATGATTGTTGGCTGTTCTTTTTTCTTTTCTTTTCTTTTCCTCTCACCCTTCCGGATGGGCTGTGAGTGGGTTTTTGGTGACTGCTCTTGAAAGTTGTGCGGAGTGATAGAGGAGATTGGCTTGAGCCGAGGGAGCTTGGGAGAGCTTGAGGTACGTACCGGGACGGTTGTTGTTGAGAAACTGGGGATGGTGGGGGATGCCGTGGATGGCTTATCTAAGATACTGTACCGCTCCTGGTAGCTCAAGGTGGGGTTCAGATTTATTGTTTGTATTGTTGAGCCTCTTTTTTTTGCGCATTACGTCACTCGAATTTTTATCATAACTCCATCAATCAAGACTCAGTATTCATATTTTCTTAAAAAGCTCATTTGAGGCAACATGTTTTTTTGGGGGGAGAGCTTCATTGCACACCCAGCATACGTCAGATATTTGGAAGGAGATTAAAAAAAGAAAAAAATCAGAGAGCTCCCAACGGGCCCTCTAATGCGAAGAGCCCCTACGCCCAATCAAGACGCCAAAGGAGATCAGGTAGGAGGAAGTAATGGAGATGATGAAAAACAGAATTCTCAAATGAAAAGCAAACAAATGGGCCTCCAATTTCGCAAGTCATGGTCACGGACTTGCAGTACTTTGCCCCCTTCTAAGCTCCGCCTGCAATTCCTCCTCTATGACCTCCTTGACCTTATCCTTTTGACCTTTAACGGCCCAGCAAATGTCCTTGTACATACCGCACTCACGAAAGTCAACTTTCTCGAGCCTTTCAGATTTTTCAACCATGCGTTTGGCAATGTCTCTTGTGACCCAAAGACCTCCCTTGATTTTGAGCCTTTCTAAACACTTCAGGCCCAGAATTGCCTCAACAAGATCAACAGAAGCATGCAAAGGCTTCGTGTCGTCCTCCTTCCACGTAAAGCTCTTCGGCACGTCGGAAACGAACAGGAGCCCAGTGAAGGCCACAGGTTTATAAGTTGAAGTTTTCGTCCAACGCACACTGTAGTCCGGAGCAAGCAGGACGCCGGACAGGTTCAGCTCGCGGAGGTAGGGGCAAGCTCTAAGGATGTGAATGATTCCGCCAACAGGAACATCTCTAGAGGTAGAATACTTTTTTAGGAGGGGCGAGGGGAGTGGGTGAGTGCTAGTTTTCAGTGTAGGCAGCTTTCTTCTAACCCGACCGGATTTCCTCCTGTCTTGAGGGTCGTCCCGGTGGATTGTGTAGAGCTGGGAGGAGCGAAATTTCCATTCCCTCCATCCCGCCAATGGGAGGTCTGGGTCTACACAGGACCCCAGGTTCGATAGATCCAATTTGCGCACCATCTTGGCCAAGAACCTATTCCGCGAGACCACAGAAACAAATTGGGCCAAGCGATATGTGGAAGCAAAGGACGGGGAGGCATATAATGTGTGCGCCACTTCATCGAACATACGTCTGGAAACCTTAGCGAGCGCAAGAAGAGTGCCCTGGTCTAGATGCTGGAACACCTCGTCCAAGATCTCCGAGGGCAGGGTGGAAAGCTTGGGGTGCTCATAGTAGTACTTGCGCTTTCTGGAAAGGATACTACTCGCGGTGCTACGTATCGATGAGGACGAAGAGGAAAGGCTGTGAGGGCGGGCTGGTTTTTTCGACGTGCGCTTTACAGGCTTCGACGCCAGATACGGCGTTATCAAAGAGGAAATAGCCCTGTGAGTATACTGCGGGGCGGTAGATCCGGCCGGCCCCTGCGGGACGGGGGAAGGGGCATCACTGATGGGGGAATTTGGCTGGTGTTTCTTCACGGGACGGCTAGCCTCGGCGGAGAGGGATCTTGGGTCCGTGTAAAGATAAATTGAACGAGTGTAGTGTTGAGAAGACGGAGACTGAAAATAGGAGGAACATGAGAATTGAAGATTGTTGGATCGCCGAGATAGAGTGAGGGGGTCATCTGTTCTTCGAGCCCTTGAGCGAAACCTGATGTCAGCTCACATGAAATATCATCCAGGCGCCGAACCAGCATTTCATGAGGGAGGAAGAAAAAAGAAAAAAGGAGCGCAGAAGAAGCACAGAATATGGACCCGCGCAGGGAGTAACGAACATCCTGACCCACACCACAACAACGACAACACCTCTAATCAGTCCAATAGGATAGCTGCCGGTAGTGGATAATGGTTGTCGACCTCTGTGGCGAAAGAATAGGGGGAGGATGGGGAGCTGGTGGGAAGATCAAGAGCTCGGGGTGGTGGGGTAATTCGAGATGAATTGTTTATAATATTATCAGGAAACCAAGATGATGACGCAAGACCAGACAGTGAAGGATCCTTTTGACTGAGAAGGGAGAGTGGGCTAAGTTTGGGAACCCCTACGAGTACAATACGTGGTTCGCCGGTTAGAGTAAAATAGGCACTCCCCGACTTTATCCCAACGGTTATTCTATTGAGCGATAATTTCGCCGCTCTGTGCTACCATAAAATATTGGTATCATAACTTAGGGGTTTTTGAAGTTAAAAGGGTTATTTCCCGGCGACAAGTAAATACCGGGGGTCACATTTGGTTACTTTACTATGATAATATGTTGGCTAATAGCAGCACCCATGTACTACACGGTATGATATGGTATGATAATATTATAGTACAAGCATAGTCAGGCAAAGCGATAGTAAGTTCACAGCTTTTATGTGTGCCAAGTTTGTGTGAGATGTCAAAGTACTATAAACTAAAGACGGTGTCCGTTTTTACACCTCTATTAACCTTGAAAAACCACTTGGGGGGTCATTAAAGACCGGGAGCTGGCGAGACCCATGTCTTGGTGGTAGGGTCCAAAATCGTACACAAACCGGAGGTCTTTAGGTGACAACAGCAATTGGGAGTGGTACAATATCCCAATTATATCCCAAGAGCGGAGCGAAAATAACGAATTGAAGGCATAAATTGGAATTGGTGATATCACAATTTTTATGTGAGCCCATCTAGATAAGGGAGGGACCCTCCTAAACCCTTCGATTCCCACTCTCTCAATTGAGAGTAACTTCAAAACTACTGGTCTGGGATTTTAACTGCTTTAATATTATGGTATGATATATGTTTATAGACCAACAACATGATCGTCTGATCAAATAATACCTACGACGTCACCCACTAGTTTTCCATTGAGTACTGTACAGTACTGTACCTTACCCTTGGCGCGTCTTCAACTACTTGAACATTTTGCTAACCCACCGGTGCGAAGAATAAGCAGCAGCAGCCCAGGAATTTCTAATGCCATGACAGACCCTCCTCAAAGAATTGTTGGCAAGGGCAGAGTCTCGATTTATCGTTGAACTTTCATACTGAAACCTATCTTTTGTGCTGAAACTGTGTACGGTCCAGGAAGAGGTAAGGGGCTACCTATCGCACCCCCCCGTTGTAAAATGTTATGGTCGTACCACCTAAGTTTTTCATTGGCACTTGTACTTGTAATTCAGGGATGGGATAGTATGATATACCGGTAACTGCGCTGAAGGTCACCCCCGTTGTTGTGCCGTGTGGATGGAGAGCTGGGGGGTTCCAAGCCATGTGCGGGAGCAACATTCACCCCACACTGTGAAAATAGATCATTTTGGGCCGAATTCGGTATCATACACTAGAAGAGTTCGGCTACCGGTAGTATTATATCACAATATCATACCAGTGACCAGACTAAACATTATTAGCCTTGAGGTTGGCGCATGATTGGAGTGTTGGGTCGATTAGTCACGGTGCCAATGATTGCGTATCGGGCTTCTGCTTCGAGTGAGACACCAAAGCTTCTCTGCACGAACCACAGGCGTCCACTAATTTGGCTGTCTCTCACAAGTAACAGATACTAGCATAGGCCCCTTCGAGGCTTCAAGGGAGCTGGAAACGATTTACTCCTTTTCTAGATGGTTAGAGATTTTTAGTCCAATAACACCCAGCCCCCCCCCCTGGCAATGTGCAGGTCTAGTAGGTAGCCTTCTTTTGTATTTTTGACTAAGCCAAAGATATCTGTTAATTCTGTTTTTCCTTCATTCCTCCCTTCCACGCCGCCCGGCTTGATATGATAGGAATATCATACCTTGTTGTCAGGCGTAGGGGTTAGGGTAGAAGGAAGAGGGTATCATAATCTGATCGGATTGGTCGCCAGATACCCACCCCACACTTCTTGCCAATGTCAAGTAGTACGATACAATACAGTGCACAATTAGAAAGATAGAAGATAGATAGATAGATGGTAAGATACCCTATCTATCGTACCTTCCAGGAAGGGTTAAGTTGGGTGAGATCTCCACAGGCGTCTTTCGCGCAGTCAGACCCAACATGACGTTTTAAGTTTTCTACTCAGAGAACATGGTATTCTATTCCCATGATGAGAGAGGAGTCTGTTGTGATAATAATATCATAGTATCATAATCAGGAAAGATCATAACCCGTAACAAGGTCAGAGGGGTTAACATCCTTAGCCCTGCAGGGTTCAGGTTAGCAGAACTAAAATTCGAGAATACCATGCTTCTTCAAACATACTATGCGAATGAGGGTTTGTGACTTGAGAGGTTCCCCTTTCCATCTCTCAACCATTCTATTGGCAGGGAAAGCCCTAACTCCACGCCTGGAATGATTTCAAGCAATAAATTGCCCCCTACCCTTTCCTGTGTTCTCCGGGTTCCTCTTATCTGTTCTATCTCTTCTCTCATCGATACTTTCCTTTGGTCCGCTATACTGCCACAACTAGCACCGCATTCGTTACCACTCCTCAAGACTCAGTTTCAATCCTCCATTAACCTCACCTACGTTAAACCTATATTCTCAGAGTATGGAGCAATCTTCTACTCCCCGGGATCTCCTGTCCCCCCATGGCAGCCCAGGCCATTTATCTCAATTACCCTCCCATATGAAGTCCACGAAGAGAAAATGGGAAGACGATGACCTCCAATACGAGTCTGACCCCTCTGAACTCAAGTTCTCTAGAAATGCAAGCAACAGCAAACTGTCTCCTGCCTGGCTAGTCAAGCTCCCGCCATATTTGACTAACCATTGGAAAGAGCTGTTGGATGTTGATGACAACGAAGAGATCGTGCTCGGCACTATCAAGGTCAAGGTTCCAAAAGCTCCTGATGATGTAAGTTGACTGCCCCACCAAATTCAACTATGTCAACAAAAATGGATCCCTGACATGAGGGGTGCCATCAGAAGCAGGAAATAAGGCTTAGATTGAATCCTAGCCATAAACCTAGTCAAAATATACCGCAGGATTACAATTTGGAATCGCGCGGAAAATCTCACAATATGTATTGCTGGGCAGAGGAGGAGAAGGATGTCCCAAAGAAACAAACCGGACCTTCTATCCCAATAGCTTTCATCAAGGGGTACAGTAAAGGGCGTCGTGGTTCTGAGAGCGCCCGTGAGTCAAAGGAAGCTACCTTCCGACGTCCTGCCAAAGGTAATAGTAAACATTTATCTGATGACTGGCCTTATTTACTAATAGCCTCTCCAACAGCGAACAAAACTTCTTTGGTCGCCAAATTCCAGGATGAACTTCTAGTCACCCCCATCCGGGCAGAGGGCGCCCCGACCCTTTATGCCCGTCCTCAAGCCATCAAAAAGGAGCCAGAATATATGACACCAGTAAATGTGCAGATGAACCTTCTCAGACCGGGTACCGTTGGGGACTTTCCGAACCGAAAGGAGAAGGAACTATCGTTTACTGCTGCTGCTCCCGCATGTTTACCCACTCCACTTACCTATCTCCGTCTAACAAAGTACAGAAACCCACTCTCGGCCGAGACCCTAAAGATAAGGCGTATCGCATGAACAAGGACGTCCTAATCTCTAGCCTCTACGAGCTCTTCGAAGCGAAGGAGCACTGGTACTCGAAGGAGTTTCGTGAGGAGCTCTTCCAACCTGAGGCTTACCTAAGGCAGGTTCTGAGAGAAATTGCTATCTACAATCAGAACGGGCCCATGGCCGGAACCTGGGAGTTGAATCCTAATTCCAAGGAAGCTCTAAAGTGGATGAAAGCACAAAAAAAATGAGAATTGGAGAACGTGATTTTATCGTATTTTCTTGTCTTATAGTTGCTGTCAGGGCGATTCGTAGTTTCGATATATCAAACCAAAATGCAACCCTGCCTCGGATGAGGAAATTTAATAGCGGGTGGCCTATTCATTGGTGATCTTTGCGCCCTTAATAATAATTTAGGTCTTCTGCTAGTGAGAGATACCAAACGCCTGTAGATGTTCCGATAGAGATATGTGCTAGGCCGCTAGAATTATCGCTCAGGGATACCAAGAGAGTGCTGAGAACTCATTTTTTAATGGAGGCAAAAAAAAGGAGAAGATACATAGCACCCCAACAGCAGCGACTACAGGTATTGCAACGTCCCAGCACATTCATACTACATCCAGGTACTCGCACAGTACTTGCCATAGCGGACCAGTGAAAATAGCACAATTTGAGTTTACGATCACACTAAAGTGAATGCAGAGAGCTGGATGCCCCCCTTCTTCAAAACTCTTGCCGCTTGAAACCATCTCCACATTCCGCAGCACAGCATAGTTAACACTTGGCCCGCGGAGAACCATCTAGAGCGCCCATAGCACCCATGGCTACCAAAAAAGGAGCACTTGACACCCCTATAACCCCTTTAACATTCGCTTCTAAAACAGGGTAGCTACTCGAAAACCGGGTTGTTGTGGTATTTGATATATCATGAGTACTAGTACACCTCATGGAGGTCGAAACGGGAACATGAGCCTTCATATTACGCGGGGTGTGTATATGTTTATTTGGCCAAGGCAGTAAGGAGTTTTTGTAGGATTGTCAAACACCAAGCTAAATGCCTGGATCTACCCGGCTCTTTTCTAGGTCGGAGAAGGTACCATACTAGTTAGGATGCCAGCCGCAAGATACCTGCCGTTATCAGATACGTTTCGGAGGCATCCAGGTTGGGAGGACTACTAGTACAGTAGAGTAGTGATGTTTTTTAATGTGTGACCCTCGCCTTTCTACGAGTACTATGAGTCTTTATGATGTTTTATCATAGTATGACATGATACCAATTTTCCCCTTCCGATAGATTTAGCGGTATCATAAAATTATATTTTCACCTTCACAAGAGAGGTGGCAATATCATAATCCATGACTCGAAATTCTGAGGGCCTTGCCCCCATCACATGACTGCAAGTGCCAAGAGATGCCAGGACCAGATCGCCCATCGGCGTGGATACAAAACGCCAACCAACCCACTTCTTCCCTGTCAACCCGTCATCCTCAGATCACCCTTTTCCTTCCTTCACCTCCACTTCTTCTCCTTATCGTCCCTTCCTTTCATCTCTTCGCCCACTCTGCTTATTTTCCACAACAAAAAGCTTGCGCTACGCCGACTACTCTATACGCCAATTTTTTCTCACCGCTCTCATGTCTGACAATCAGGCGCTCCTCTTAAAGATCAGCGAAGTCGCTGGTCAGTGCCCACTACCCCGATCCGCCTCGCTTGGCCTCTTTGTCGATTGGGAAATGTACTGACGAGCTGAACAATCAGGCAAGATAAATCGACACAAGAACCAGACGGAACAGCTTTCTGCTCCCGCCTATGGGGGATCGCATTTCCCGCAACGAGCATCCCCATATCCTACTAACCGTATGCGACCGTTTTATTATTATCACTCCATAGTTGCCGAATCTTCCACATTCTTTGATGGAGGCTTAATCAACACTAATAGTTCCGTATGCTAACGAACCAGTTAGAATCCTCAAGAGGAAGAGGAGGATGGATTCCTCCACATCACTACCAACATTACCACCACCCTAGGGGAGTTGCCGCCCGCAGGGCAAGAGGTCGGGCTTCTTGGCCCGGCCCCCCTGTCACTCATCATCATAAGACTTTGGTGATCAATAACAATAAAGCCCCTGATGGGAGTGCTGTTACTCCAACTACAAATACGTTTGCTTCAACTTCCCATGTAGAGAATATGTCTTCCAACCCACCAGGACAAGTTTTACCACAGGGCAATGACAGTACAACACAATCTTCAGAAGGGTGGGTGGCAAAGCGTGATAGACATATGCAGTTGATCAACACTGCGGTCTATGACCAGCACGCCCAGGCCAGAGCTAGAGATCTTGAGAAGACCCGCCAGACCCAATTAATGAGGAAAGAGGAAAGAGAAAAGCAAAAGCTCAGGGGTTACTTGGATAGGTCCCGCGATACTGCCTCACAGGTTCCGTTTGACGTCCTCGTACAGGGTGAACGGTACAAAGTCGCCGCTGGCGGTAGCAAACTTATCAAGATTTCTGGTGAGGAGCAAAATAAACTGGGCTTGGATCGGGAACAAGGAGTATGTTTAACAGGTTCGATGTTGCAAACAGATGGTCCACAAAATGCAAAATCTACCCCCAAGAAAGCGGTTGTTGGTGGTGTTAATTTTGTGCGAAGCAAGAACGGAAATCTTTGGCGCGTTGGACTAGTAAAAGCATCACAGTGAGTATCGAGCTCTGGCCCTATTTTCTTGCTAACGTTATCATCCGTGTGGCTGACAGGGGGCGCTTCCCCATCATCTCCGACAGCGAGTTCAGCAAACCACGCCATATCAAGAAGCCCTGCAAATACTATTCAAATACTGGTAGCGACCAATTCCCTCCAATCGATTTCATTCTTGCTCTTGTAGTGGACCGCATTGATATGCAGAGCTCAAGCCGCTTCTCTCCTCCTGCCCTACAATTCTTTTTTTATTGGATAAAGTTGAAGATGTTATACTAACGAAACACTCCCAATTACTTACCATAGGTAAATGTAAGAACGGGATGTCATGCCTCTACACTCATGATCCCAACAAGGTCGCCATATGCCCTCGATTTATCCAAGCCAATTCATGCCCCGAGGGGGATTCCTGCGACCTGTCTCACACACCCAGCCCACATTGTATGCCTTCATGCGTCCACTTTCTCCGTGGCAATTGTTCCAACGATAAGTGCCCTTTTACGCACGTCAAGGTTAACCCAGCTGCTCCCATCTGCCGTCCCTTCGCTACATTGGGGTACTGCGACAAGGGTGCAGAGTGTACAGAACGACACGTACGCGAGTGCCCTGACTTTGATGAGAAGGGGGTATGCACGGATAAGACTTGTAAGCTGCAGCATGTTGAGAGGGCTGGACGAAGGCGAGTGGCAGCAGCTCAAGCGGCCGCAGCAGCCGCAAAAGCCCAAGGATCCGGTAACGACTACAACATGGACTCTGATAGTGACATTAGCAGTGGAGATGACGGAGAGGCAATCGACAGTGACGACGTCGACTCGGATACACTCAGTGAATATGATTACATCCGTAGGGACAATCAAGACTCTGAAGACATTGGCGAGATTACGATGCAAGAGGATTTCATCCATCTCCCAAGGAGTTAAGAAAAACATACAGTTCTGTTATAATACAGCCTATAGAGGGCTTTACTAACTTTGCAGACTTCCACCGTATCGCGCATTATCCGATTCCTACACCCCCGCCTAAGGTTACTTTCTCATGCTCTTTTTTTTCTCTCCTCTCTTGCTTTTATTCGCTTGCTTTCATGCCACAAGTCATCGTTGATTCCCCTCTTGTTTTTTTTTTGCTTTATTGTACAGCATCTTTGTCTCATGGGTCCTCCATTTTGTTTTTGTTTGGATGATACATCCAATACCACGTTTGGTGTACTAGTGGGAGGTTGCTGTGATTTGATTCTGTTTTCGCTCCACTCTTTGCGAGCGACTCATCCTCCTTTCTTTTCACTTTCCACCTGCCGTACTGATCGATGTATTCCACGCCCACATTATGTTTTTGTTTCCGCCCCTCGCCCTATACCCAGCTCTCGGATCAGCTTCCTATGTCTCTCTTTTTTTTTTTTTAGCATCACCATCATCATCATCATTACACAATTACACAGCATAACGGTGCGGTTCGAAGGTCCTTGACCGAGCAAGCCATCCTCCGAGGCTGCATCACTCATTCATACACCAGAAGCGAGAGAGGAGATGGTACAAAAGGACACAGGTCATGCTTTGTTTTTTTTTTGTTTTTTTTCACTTTCTCTTAGCTTTCTTACTCTTTTGTCCACTAGTATCTCTCACCTTTGCCTCTCACCTTCGCTTCTCTGCCTACCCTTCGCTTCCCACATTCTCTGATTCGCATGTCATGGCGGGGCGGGGTCAGCGGGGTATCTGTTGGTTGTTGGCGCATCGACCGATGAGAGCAAGCGACACGTGTGTCGACGAACGACAACGATGGATACCTTGTGGGTAGCACAAAGCCATTCATTCACCTCTACTACTACCTACCTACACCTTACCCGTTTTTAGTCTGTCCTCGGTCGGCTTCTCTCACTCACAGCACTTAGCACAAACAGAAAAAATAGGAGCGGAATACGAAGGGGGCTCTCAGGGGAAGGAAGAAAGAGGTGGGAAGAGGGGAGAGGGGCGGGTGGAAAAACGTTCACATTAATGGTGTTTTTTTTTTTTGGGGGGGGGGCGTTCACTGTAAGTCTACGGACAAAACGGAGATGGAGTTGGGTTGCGATTCAAAAAAAAAAAAAAAAAATTAAAGGTTAAAAAAAAAGTTAAAAGGGGGATATGATAGTTACGATAGGATAGGGAATAAACAGAAACTTGTATCATTTACAATACAACAGGTCTAGAAGTAAATGGCATTCCTCGTTGTAAATACTCTATTTGGTGATTTCAAAATTGCTATGATACAAGTACAGTACAGGTATCTCTTTTTGAAGGATCAGTAGTTTCGCCTTCACCGCCCAACAAAATCATACAGAAGCAGCAATAGAAAGCTAAGTTAACTTGTGAGCTATGATACCTTACCGACAAAAAATACGGTAGCCGACAGCAACAGGTTTCACCAGAAACACTGCACTATATCTCCTTCCCGACATCCCGAGTCCACAAGATGGGCTCATGTCATGACATAGTGTGAGTCCGTTTTCTGTTTACTGTACTTGTGTACGAGTACTCGTACATACCGGTATGATTACAGCAGCGTTCCAGCCCGCATGAATTGGCCCAACCTCAGCTATGATACTTACCACACCACCCATCCATCCCATCCATCGCAGCTTGTACCACGATGAACAACTGTACACGTACAAATCAAACCAAACATCCCGCCACCACCACCACCACCACTGCCCAAAGCGCGAGGGGAAGAAAATAATATTGTACTGCAATGAATTCTTTAAAAAATCCTGAAACACACCTCCTTAAGTGACCCCTCTCATCGTACCTTACTTCACTTTTGTTTGAAGTTTTTCCTTTTGCTTGCTGTGGGGCAGCCCCAAACCCCAAAAGGTTCCCAGTTAGCACACATTGCCCCCTCCCCCCCCCCGGCACCCGAGTCAACCGAAGGAACACCCGACCGGGGGATTACGATTGAAAGATATTGTGAGTAAACAGATAGGCCCCCTTCTTCGTTCCCGCAAGAGCCTCAATCGCGCACAAACCACATGACGTCTACCATTGCCTGAGTAAAGCTTTCTTTTCCTCTACCCGGATCTTCGTTTTTTTCTTTTTTTCTTTTTTCTCTCTCTTTTCCTACGAACTTCGTCATCACCTCCCACTTTTCCCCACGAATTCTCCAATTAACTACTACGAGTACTTGTACCGGTACGCCCACATCGTTCCCAAAGCTCCCTCCCGCATCTAAACAGAGCAGACATTAGGATAACATAATCATCTCAATCCGATTCAATCCTAAATGTACCGCGACCTCCGACTCCGACTATTCCCAAATCATCCGAACGCGCTGTCCTGGTCGAGGGACGGGCAATTATGTGTTATTGCTTCGGAGACTGCACAGATTCTCGTGAGTGCCTGTACACAACTTCTTCCTCCCCCTTCCATTCCTTCTCTGCCCCTCCCCGACCGGGGGAAGCAGGTGGAGAGCAAACAGCAGCTAATGATTCTATCAGGTTCCCAACAACCTAAAACCCCACCACGCCTCCCTCCGCACGCACCTCCTGCACAGCATACAAACCCTGCCCGAAATAGCCCCTGCAGACGGTGAGTTTCAGGTTTGTTTGAGGTTTTATCTTTATTTTATTTTATCTTTTCTCATTTTTTCACCCTTGTTTTAAAAAAGGTGGGGTAATGATTGGTTGATGCGGCTTGCTTGGGAATGCAAGTAGCGGAGGTGTATTCTATTGGTGATGAGCAGGGTCCGGGATATGCGAGGGCTGCGGCGTGGAGTCCTTTGGGGGTATCGGAGTTTAGGAGGTATGTGTAGTTTTTCTTTTCTCTCTCTCTTTCTCTCTCTCTCTCTCTCTCTCTCTCTCTCTCTCTCTGCTTAGCTCGCATACGCCTGGGGTTTGTTCGGAGAATTTCTTTATTGGCCAATATTGATCAAGTGAGAGAAAAAAAGGTGTATTTTGGGTATCCTCACGACAAATCATCAGGTCAAGGTTTTTGTCCCTGGGTGGGACCCTTGGAGTGATTGGACGATTGTGAGTGTGATCTTTTATTTTTATTTTTTTGCATATCGGTTTTTGTGGTTTTGGTTGGGAGGGAGCGAGAAAAGTGATAGACACACTCAGAGAAAAAAAAGAAAAAAAAACTTACAGCTGCGAGTTGCCCGATGCAGGGGGTTGTGGTCCATGTTCGAGAAGATGGTTATGTGAGGGTCTGGTCGGATAGGTTGAATTACTGAATTTAGACTGACTAACTACAATCGTGAATGACCGAAAAAATGATATGCAGCGTCACGATCTTACAAAGTACCTGATCGAGTACTCGGGCTGGGACAATGATGAGCTCAACGAGGAGGAGGAGGACGAAACCGTAGTGCGTATGCGGGTCCGTACGAGATCTTTTTCTTGGTCCTCTGCAGCTACTTTTCCCGCCAGTCGACGGGCGGAATCACTGCTCGCGGTGGCAAATGATAATCTACAGATTGTGCTTTTCAGGTCTGTTTAAATTTCCCCTGCATGTTTTTTATTTATTTTATTTTCGCCTTCGGCATGCCGAAAGGCTAAGTCCAAAAGCTTTTTTTTTTTTTCCCTCTTTTACACTTTCATCCCCCTGCGAGAAAAAAATGAGTTCTACCGTGCCCTTGAGGCACGGTTCGCCGTGTGTTGTGTGGTGTACCTTTTGGGGGGATTTTTTTTTCTTCTGTTCCTCCTGTCCCCGGCTCCTTTTCTTTTCTGAACGATGTGACACGCAGGATCACGCACGACCATTGTTCGATCGTAGAGTTTTTCAAGGGCATTGATTTAGAGATCGTGAGAAAAGTTGGGTTAAGAGAGACGTGGGTGAGTTGCCTTGCATGGAGTCCATGGAAACGGGTCCGAGGTGGCGACGAAGGAGACAATCACAAAAGCAAAGCCTTCCTGGCCTACGGATTTCGCGGAAAGGTGTACATTTGCCCGATCACCGTGTCCCTCGAGTCGGGAGATTACTCACACTCTCCCGGGAATCATAATCTGTCGGCTGTGGCTGGAAATAGACTTGTTGTTGGGAACTCGATATCTGACGTTCATCTGGTTTCTGCCATAACTTGGGCTGAAGAGGTGAGATATTTTGCCCTACACACACACCACACCACGACCACTCCCATACACACATGCGCCTGCACACAGTCGTGAGTTCATTCGTTGACCCGGAATGACAATGTAGGAGATCAGTGGGTGCCTTATTCTGGCCTATGTTATTCCACGCAGCGTAAAGATTGTCGCTATCAGCAGCGATGGGAGGGTCAGGTCCACCAGGGAGTTTGTGAATGGCTTTGTGGATCATATTGCCGGTACGTAATATCCCGTATAATGACAATGTGTAAAGATATACTCGCTCTAAGAGGTTACTAGGGTTTTGTTTCACTCCCTCAACAAGTCCCTCGCGGGTCATGCTCCACCTTGCCAGTTCCAATGGAAGGACGCAAATCATCGACTACACGAGCGAAAAGTCAACCTCTCGCATCACGGAAGGCGCCGGCGACGAACAAGATGTGCCGATGCGTGACGCCCCGCCGGGAAGTAAGGAAGAAGAGGAGGAGCTCCGCGCTATTGCTTCCCGTTGGACGAACGTACTGGAGGAGAGGAAGCAAGACTACATGGCTGAGCATGATCTATCCACTTGCACTTCCAGAGTGTATGGCATCGCGGCAAGCCCCATGGGTGGGATTATCGCTGTGGCTTGCAGCTTCCATCCGAATGACAGTCTGCAGTATATCACGGCATCTAAGGAGATGACCAAGATAGTCTTCGGCACACACCCCGGGTGGGAGGGCGCCTGGCAGAGGAGAGGCCTTCTGGCTGAGCCCCCTTCAGACGAGCCGCAGGTGCCCACCCCCGTAGAGATCTCGAGTGAAGCATTTCTCTTCGAAATCGAGTGCTTTGGGGGTAGAAGCGCAGGTATTGCGGACAGGATCCGAAAGTCATTGGATAAAGTACACTTCCAAGATGGTAATGGCTGGGACCTAAAGAGCATATCGATAGACGGTGCTGGGGTCGATGCTTCCTTGGCTTCCAATCTTTTGGCTAAACGAGAGCTAAACGCGCTCCGGTACAAATGCTGCCTGCAAACATTATCAGACCCCGCCAATCCTCGCTTATCTCTCCTTATCAACACCCCTCCAAGAGAATATCCAGAAATAATCGCTCATATCATCTGCAACATTCTATCCGTTCCCCGAAATAGCGCGACCGAAAAGTCCAACCTGAGCATCAGAATAATATACTCTCTCGCATGTATCGGAATTCTAGGACTGTACAATTTCCGCCAAATAGTAGAGCTCGCACAAAAATCATTCCTCTGGCTATCGACAAAAGTCAAAGTGGACGTGCGCACAGAACTGGAAATTTCGGAACGTAGAATATCAGATCTGGACGTTATGGAGCGCGGAGAGGACGATGGCTCGGGCCTGCAGGAGATCCGCGATAGGGATAAAGGCTTCGCGAGTAGGCTGGAGAAGTGTGCCCTGTGCGACCAGGGGATGACATGGTCCGATCTTAGAGTGGCCGAGTGCTCACTTGGACACAGAGTTTCTAGATGCACACTTACCTTTCTGCCAATGAAGGACTATAAACTCACCAAAGAGTGCATGGTCTGCAAGCGGACGGTTCTATCAGAAGCAGTTCTTGTCCAGGAGATGGAAAATAATGGTGCGCATAAGAATAACGGCGGTGACGGCGGCGGCAGCAGCGGACTGGGAGATGAGGGGGAGATGGGTGATGGCGGTGATAATACTATGTGCACGAGTAGAGCGGGGCCGGTTTCCGATTCCTCTTCTTATCCTTCTCGTCGCAGAGGTGCTGCTGCTGCTCCTTCTTCTTCTCAAGGAGGGGTATTAGAGGATGAAGGAGGGGAGAGCACATTGGCCGCGAGCATTCTGACTGGTTTAGATGTCTGCGTACATTGCGGAGGGAGGTATTGGGCGAAAAGCGAAAAAGGGTAGTTTAACTCTTTTTCCTTTCTTTCTTTTTCCTCTCTCCTTGGGTCGTGTGTGTGTCTTTTTATGATGAGGGAAATTTTTAATTATATATACCTTTTTTTTTTCTTCTTTAACCGTACTTACTATCATAGTGCTCTTCACTTTGGGGGGGGGATATCAATAGTCTACCATGACGCCCTTGCTTGGGCGTTTGAACCAGGGACTTTTTTTGTCGAAATGTTCATTCCGTGTTTTGAAATTTGAAATTATCGCTCCCGCCTCGGCCCTATGGAGAAAAATACTGGCACGGTACCGGTAGGATATCGTAAGAAAAAGAGAAGCACGAGCCCGCCCCCCCTTCTATCCCCGCCCGCTTCTGGGGAAATGGTGGGGGAATGACCGTTTTATCCACATTCAACGAAAAAAGGCATGCCACCAACGGAACGGGTATGTCTTGACATATTATGCTATAAGATTTTGGGGGGAAACGGTAGATATGCCATACCACCGGTAAACAAATGGTATCTTGAGCAGGAGGAAAGAAGGAAAAAAAAAAAAACTATGAACTTGGGGAGGGGGGGGGTTGCGATAAATCTAATGATCGACAGCGCGGCATCGACCTTGGGGGGGGTGAGCGGGGTGTTTCGGGAGTTTTTTTTTTTCAACAACCCATCGCTTTTCCCCCACCCATCACCGCCATCATCTATCGTATCTGCTCGCAGCGTACATACAGTACGGTAAGTTACCGAAATAATAAATCAAAAAATCGTGAGGGGAAGGAGGAAAAAAAAAATTAAAAAAATTGTTAGTTATAAAAATGGTATTGTTTTATGAAAATACAAGAAAGAGAGAAGAAGGAGAAAAAAATCCAAAAAATCCAAAGCTCAGTAAAGCCCAGCTAGATATGCATACAAGTAATATTTATTATACAAGCGGCGAAGTTACATGGTACATACACCTCCCACGCGAAACGGCAATGACATTAACTCCATTCACACATTACCCGTAACAAGCCCAAGCGAACGCAAGTACCGGTACTGTACGAGTGCCGTACATAACCAGGCATTTATCTATTTATCTATCTATCTACCTTATTTTCGCGAGGGAAATTGAGTTTGGAGCGCACCCGGGTGTACTGTACGTATCATAACAGTATAGTAGAATAAGTAAGCGGTATCGTATCGGTAGTAAGTCTACGGTAGGGCATTTAAACTTATCTTTGTGCGAAGGAATCCGAACCGGGTATAGTAGCACAAATCTCGGGACGGACGGAAGGACGGACGGATGTGATTGTGTTCGCACAACCACCGTAAACTTACCCCAGTTTTCTGGTTATATTTGTATCATACCCATAACTATGCTGGATTTATTTACGAAAGATTGAGGGTTAAATATGGTACCGTACCATATATAAGCGGACGGTAGTTGGACGAGCGTACCGTAAGATAATAATAATAATAATATTATTATTATTATTATTATAATTATGGTACCGGTAAGCTGATAAGTTTACCCCCTGCAATCATGGTTTATCTATATCTACGAGTATCATACTGTACGGTATTTTCCTCCCCCCCCCCGTCGTCATCCTCCGGGGAATGGGAAGGGCTCCTTAGGTTTTTGATTACTGTATGGGATGGGTAAAAACAGTTTACATATGGGGGGGATTTAATTTTGTGAGAAAGTTTGGAATCAGACTCGTGCTCTCTCTTCTTCTTCTTCTCAGCTTGGTAGCGTGGTTCTTGTTGTTCTTTTCTTTTTTTCTCTTCCCTCATTATGATAAGGGCACAATGGGATTTGTGATGTGTTGATATGATACGGTGCCGCGAATTTGTGATGATGTTATTACTCGTGTTATTAAGTTATTATAATTTGTGGTCGCATGGTGCGGAGAAGTGAAAGAAGTTTTTTAAGTTATCGGTACGGTGCTGTACCGTACTCCCGAGTAGGTATGTACGAGTACGTCAATTATTATTTTTTCTTTTTTCTTTTTTCTTTTCTCCTTCTCTCGTGCGTTTTCACGATGCTTGGTTCACCGCGAGTTGAAAAAAGGAATTACGCTTCCTGTTAATGCTCGAGTATAATAGGGTAGGATATCGGTAAGTGGATGTGGGCGATGGGTACTTTGTATCTCGATGTGGTATAGTACTCGTTATCGTACCATAACCGTAAAAGTTGTGGCGGAGTGGGGGGGGATGAGATTCGGGGAGGTTACCTGTTCTGACTAACCCCCCTCCGAGTGCTCCCACTCTCGATTGTTGTTGACTTTCTCTGAATCGTCCATAGTTTGCAAGTACGGTGATACCAGTACTCGAGTACAGTACCTGTATCGGTACCGGCACTCAGACACGATTGCAGATGCTTCACTTGCACAGTTCGAGTAGCTACCAGAGCTGCAACAATTACATCATGTTTCACCTGTACCCCGTTTCGAAAAGCACCATCGGTATGGACGCTATGACCCTCCTGCCTCCTCTCCCTTCCCTCTCACGGCTACGGGTAGCAACCGAAATCAGCACAGTCCGGCATTGTGTCGGTATCGTCAGCAACCTTCCGTTCCTCCTACTTCAAGGTATGAAGGGGAAGGGGAAAGGAAAAAAAAAAAAAGTGTGTGTGTATGTGTGTGCTGCTGGGAGGAGAAAGCGTTACCCGACAACATGGTGGCAGGGCACGGGGGCCCCTCCCTTCAACCACCACGCGCTTCGTCATGTCGGTCACCGGGTTCGGCATCTGTACAGTACTGTAGCTCCTGGTACGGTAGCCTCTTGCTTCCTCCTATCACTGCTGTGTTGTATAGTATCACGCCTGCGGTGTTTTTCATCCCTGGTCATTTTCCCTTCCATTCATTCCTTCCCCCTCTTGCCCCCAGTTGCCCACCGAAAGTTAGGTAGGCAGCCAGCCAGCCAGGTAGCCAAGTGATAGGTGGGTCACGACGACCTGCGCATTTCGGTACGTTACGGTTAGTAGAAAAAAGTTTTCCCTCTTCTCTCTCTCCCCTTCCCAATCACCATCGAGGGAACTCCAACCCGATGCGGAGCATGGATTGTAAACTAGGATGTGCTAGGAGGCGGGCGTGGGGCACTGATGGATTAAGAGCTGTGCCCGAACCAATCGCTTGGAGCCCTGGTTTGTGGGATTCTTTCTTTCCTTTTTTGAGTCTCGCTGCTTTTCCTCCCCCCATCACACTACCAAAAGGGTACGGTACCATTACTCGAGTACCGTACTAGTTTTTGCCTGTGCGCCTGCCTTCTTGCTTGCTTGCTTAGGCGGACGGCCTGGCGTTTTTTGCTCTTGGTTGGTTTGGCTCGGTCCGGAGGGGGAGGAAGCGGTGGCAATGGAATGGGAACGGGAATGGGAATGGGAGTTGCGTGGTAGCCATTTTGTTTTTTCTTTCCTTCCTTCGGGGAGTGGAGTGGGAAACGCCTGCGGTGGGAAAAGTTAGGAGGAAGGAAGGCGGGGTTAGAGAAAGCTTACAGGCTACAGTACCGGTACGGTACTCTGGTACAGCCCATGCAGGCGGGAAGGCCGTTTGGAGAAGTTCGAACCTGCTATTTCATTGGGGGCTTGGTCAACTTACGGCACTCACCTCCAAAAAGTGTACGAGTACCGGCATCATGCTGCGCTCTACGAGGACTGACTGGTTACGGTAGCGTATACCAGCGGGGTTAAGCTGCTCTGCGGTAACCTGGTGCTAAGATGATAACCCTTCCTTCTTGATCTGCATTGAAGCAAATTCCTTTTTAGGTCCTGTGGGCCTTCTACTTCTGGTCATTTTCCTTTTTGCGATGAGGGAGGCTTTCCCTCGCTTCGCCTCTTGGTGTACTTTCCTTTTCTTTCCCCCCACCCCCCTCTTGCCCTTTTCGGACTTTTCCCTTGCTTGTGGGCTGCCTAAGACATGTCCGTCTTCCATACGGAAGAGACGACGACGACGACGACGAAGGTGATGGTTTCAACGAACCAGCGAACGAACTATGAGGAGAGGAGAGGAGGACAAGGTAAGAAAGAAAGAAAGAAAGCTTTCTCCGCTGACAGGTCTTGTCCAGTCCTTCCCCCCCCATGTCCCGTCCGTTATTCCCCGCAAGAAGGCGAAAATACGACGATGGTAGGGTACGAAGCGTTTGCCATCCAGCCCTGTGCTTGGTTTGGTATCTTGTCGTTGGTCGAGAGGTGAAGGGATTGGATTGCATTGATAGGGTGAAAAAAGATACCTTTCCCTTCCCTCCCTCGAAATCGTCCATCCAGATCGATGATAGGAGAATAGGTTGGTGTTTTATCTTTTTTTACCTAGCTCCCTTCGCGATCTGCTCACGCGCGCGTGGATCGCGTTTTCGCTTATTGGGTACAAGTTACGTCGTTAGTAACCTCCCCGTGCTAGAGTACCGGTACCGGCAGGATAGGCAAAATATGACCTTTTTACGTTTTTCCTTTTTTCCCTTCGGGCAAAACATCTTCTCTCACATCTCGTCCAACAGATGGTTGCTCCACTACCGTACTTTCCACTTTGGGTACCCCCGAAACCTCTCCCTCATTCGTTTCTTGCCCGTTTTTAAAAACTCAACTACCCGCCCCGCCGCTTTTCTTCCTTTATCATGTATACCTCCGCCCAATAACAATGTCCTTCTAGTCGCTACGGTTAATGTAACTGCCCATGTTTGACATTGTTTTTGTTTGTTTGTGGGGGGGGGGGGGTCGAGCAGGATGGAACGAGTGAGAGTTGGGTGAAGAGAGGGCCCAGAACTTTTGTAACCTCTGGTACCGGTACCACTTCTATCGCGAGATCGTGGTTGGATGGAGATCTTGCTTTACGAATCTTGCTCTTTTCAGCCCCCCAACCCCAAATCGCCGTTTCCTTCCCTTTTTTCCCATTTCTGCGGCAGTTTGACTTGACGCCGCTCTAAAAATTCCGCTATCACAATACCTCCGACTCGAACCCGGTCACTTGTGTCTCTCCTTCCTGTCAGTCAATGGCCACAATCGAGAATTTTTACTGGTACATGCCCAATTACCTCATGCCTCTCACATTTTTCATCGTTATTTTTGTACCTCTCTACAGTGCGGGTACGGTACAGTGTTTGATTTTCTTTTTCCTTCGCATTTTTTTCTCGTCATTCGTTCAGATGATAAGCGGTTATTATTGTTACTACAATACCGGTACCGGTATTTTCGGTTTCATCAAGCCCAATTACCGGTATTATTTTTATCGGCAACGGTACATGTTTTGCAAGAACGAACATGGTTACTCTTCCTTTTCCTGTCATTGTAACGATGTATGATACGAGTATAGTACAAGTACGAGTGCTGCGCTTATTCTTTTCTTTTTGGTGCGAAACTTCATTCCACATCCACGGTATCCGAAGGGGCTCTCTTGTTTTTTTTTTTTTTTTTTTTCAGCCCGAGAATTGGTCGGGATATTCCCTCTTCCAGTTTGCGCCACGGCCGCATCCTTTTACTTTTTTTCTGCCCTTTGGTTCCCTAACATTCAAAGGAGCGGGGGCAAGGTTGCTTCATTGCTTGCTCGTCTGCTGCTGCTAAACTTGCGAGATAAGCAAAGGCGCGCGCAGTGATTCTTGATGGCGGACCGGGGAAGGACGTAGCTGGATGAGAGAGGGGACCCAGGAACGATCTTTTTCTCTCTCTCTTCTCTTTTTTTGTTTTCCTCTCTTTCTTGAGTGCCGTACTTGCTTACCGGTATTCCCTTGAACAAGAAAAATGAAAAAAATCAAGGCAGCCGCAAGTGACTAAGAGTGCGCAGAGAGAGACAAGAGCATGGAGAAGAAACCTTGTATGGAATGAGTTGTCAGAGGGCAAATGGGCAGCCTTCCTCATAATTGAAGAGAAAATAAGAAAAGAAAAAAACAAGACATAACAAATAATTGTTAGAATACAAGTACCTGTAAGGGCAACATATTTTTCCGATTATTCTCCTAAGATAATGGAGTGAGGCTAGGTTCATTGGGTTGATCAGCGGGGAAGCTAGGGTTACGGCGAACTAGTTTTAGTTATGATACTGGGTTTTTTTTTTTTTTTTTTAGAAAAATTATATTTTATTTTTCTTCTCGGCATGGCGGAGGAAAGGCTCACGAGGGCTGCAATGATGTGATGAGTTATCGAAACTTTCGTTCGTCCACCAGAAGGATGAGGCTTTGAGTGGATGGGATTGCGGAGAGGTATGTTTCCTTTTGGGGCACAGTTTGCTTAGAGCTTTTTGACAGGACGCTTATGATAGCAACCCGGAGCGATAAACGGAGGGTAACTAGCTGGACCGCACGAGTAAAGAGAGCGAGAGAGAGAGAGAGAGAGAGAAAGAGAAAGAGAAAGAGAGGGGAAAAACGAGGGAGCCTTTTTTTCTTTTCTTTTTCACTCGCTCTCTCACTTTTCTCACTTCCTCGATAACCATTCCTTCCTACTCGCTGCTTTGAAGTGGGGTCATTCTTGCTTTCTTTTTCCCACTCAAGTTCGTGTGAGCGAGATGATGGACCAGGACTGGGACTTGGGACCGGGGAAGAGGCTGTGGACCTACCGAAGGCAACAAGTACTCGTACGCGAATGAGCACGAATGCTTTGCTTCCTGCATCGTATGTGAGTGCTTGATTGAGCATACCTAACCTCTGGTTCTCCGTGTCTGTCTCTCGTGAACGGCACTGAAAAAGTGTTGGATTTTACCCTTGATTCATGTGCAACCAATCGACCCAGCCTCGCTTTGATGATTTGCCCTCAACTCAGAGTTTGGAGGGACGGGGATTGGGGAGACTCAGTGAAGGGGAGTGTCCGGAGGGAGCGACAGCCAGTCAAAGCGGCGGATGGAGACTATCTACAGTACTCAAGTTACAAGGAGGGCGAGTACTTGATATAACTGGATGAGACTCTGTGGGTTGAGTGGGGGAAAGGTTTGAGATGGGGGGGGAGGGGAGGGGCTATTCCCTCTTTTCTCGCTCACCAACTCCCCCAGCTCGCTCACTGCCTTTTGCACTCGAGCAGATGAAAAGTTCTATTCTCAGAATTACTGAAAGCCATTTTTGTGAAGCGGGTGAGAGAGAGGAAGAAGAGAGTGAGAGGAGGGCCTCTTCTTTCACCGCGGCGCGCTGCCTATCCGGTGGGCCAAAATGTCGTCGGGTGGGAAGCGTTCTGTGGAGGTTGATGGACCTCGACATGCATGACCCTGTTTGATTCGTTGTCACTGGCTGGGCCCCCCCCCATCTGCGAGAACGGATTGGGTAAACGGTTGAGGACATCCCAGCCCAAGTCCGTACCCTTCTCACCATACCGGTACAGACACTCACACCATTCTTGCGGGCTTACCTCTTACTCGCTGAGAGCTCGTTCACCATTCGACGACCCTTTCCCTCACACCCCCCTGGTCCCTCTCCTGTTCCTACTCCTGCAAATGTACAGGACTGCTGCTCCCACCCACATTGCTCCCACACCAGTTTTTTTACCTTCCCCCCCTTCCCTAGCCATTTTCTTCCACTCACTCACTTCCCATTTGGTCTTTGGGTGCGAGCTATATAGCGGTGCATTGGAAGCCAGAACGCGGATTTTCTCTTGCTCGTTTTTCCTTCCCAGATAGTTAAGCAAACGTGAATTAAAGTCGACCCATTTGTCTGTACAGACTGTCGTCCCCAACAAGATTATATTCGAATACATTATTTTCCTTTTTTTGCAATAAACCTCCAGCAAACTCGTACTTCTCCATTTTAAACGGAGTACTGTACCCGTATTTACTGTTTTTTACCTTTTCTAGATTTCCCCATAACCTTACCCTGTTACCACTACCCCACTACTCTCTCTTCCCCCTAGCATTTATACACAACCCGAACAATAATGGCAGCTTCGGCATACCACTACAACAACATGGATCACTACATTCAGCAGAATAACCTCTCCCTTGATACACGGCGGGGGCAGCAGTGGTTAGACGATGACGAGTCGTCAATACTAGACGATAACATACTCGACAACAACAACCTCCTCGACTCTGCCCTCGATATGTCCCCCATCGACCGACGACGACCTTCTCTCCTTGAAACCAATGCTATCTTTTCCCCATCAAACGACTGGGACTTTGAAGATCATGATATGGGTCTGTCTGCGGGTCCAGCAGACGATAACTCACCAGTGCCGGCAGCAACTTTCGAACACAGCAACGGAACAAACAACCCATTCATTAAACTTGAGCAGGCTCAGCCCGCGTTCGCCCAGCAGAACGGCTCGTGGTCATCTAATCATGGTGCATCGGGTTCGTGCACTCCTACCGTGTACGACAACAATGCTTTCCCTAACACAGCTTTCGAAGATGGCTCAGCATATCTGGCTCCTGCTATCGGCGGTGCTGGCCCGGCTGGTGCTTTTGGTAGTGACATTCACATCACCCCTCATGCCACAGTATTCCAGGGTGCTGGTGCGGTTTCTTCCATTCCTTCGACGCCAGCTCAGAAGGATTGGGCGCAGGCTTCGGGTGCTGAGGGTCACGATTCGCAGCCCATGCAGAAGAGGATGAGGCCACAGAGCCCCGCTCCCCGTGCTCACTCCCCCCTACATGTTATGCGACGAGATGGGATCCGAAAGAAGAATGCTCGCTTCGATATCCCGGCCGAGAGGACTTTGATGAACATTGACCAGTTGATTGCGCGGTCTCAAGATGATAACGAGATCAAGGAGTTGAAGCAACAAAAGCGGTTACTCAGGAACCGACAAGCTGCGTATGTTTCAACCCCCTCTCCCTTGTTTCGTTTCGAACCAAATTGGAAGTTTGTTATCACAACTAACACCACTAAATTTAGTCTCGACTCACGGCAGCGAAAGAAGCAGCACACTGAGCGTTTGGAGGAGGAGAAGAAGATCCACAGTGCTGTTATCCAAGAGCTTGAGGACAAGCTTAACGCCATGTCGATGCAGGAGGAGCAGATGCACCAGCGAATGGAGAACCTGATCCGGGAACGTGAATTCCTTGCCCACAAGGCTGAGACACTTCAGATGGAGAAGGAGGATATTGTTCGCGAGCATACCATCGAGACCCGTGAACTTCGCAAGAAGAACACTTACCTCGAGGGTCAAGTCCAGAAGATGCAGGAGGCTCTTGACCGTGCCCCTATGGCCCATGCCCCCAGCTCATCTGGATTCAGCGACGGCTTCAACCTCGATTCGGACTTCGATCTCGAAGCAGACTACTGGAATAACGACCTGTCCCTGCAGTCTTCCGACATCGCCCCAATCAAGTCAGAGAAGATCCAGCCACGTGATGCTGAAAAGCCAGCTGCCGCTCCCGGTCTGTTGCTTATTGTAAGTTTATATCACGTTTGTTCATTTGATATTGGTGCTAATTTTTTTTTTTAATAGCTTCTTTTGTGTGGTGCATTTGTTGCTTCTTCCAAGACTTCTGTTCCCTCACTTCCGGCATTGGGCTAAACAATTGCAATCTGCCTCAGCAGATGTTTTGAACAACATCTTCCAGGATGCTGGTGTTACCCCAATGGAAGCTAGCCGTGTTGAGGCAGCTGATGTTTCTTCCACCTCCGACACATGGATAGTTGCGAAATCATCAGTACCCCAGATGGTTGGACTTGACTCTTCTTTGGCGATGTTGAACGCTCAATTGGACAAACCCTCGGCTGAACAGCAACACGAATCATTCATGCAGCTGACAGCTGCTGAATACAACGATGTCACCTCGAACAACTTTCTCCGCGATCCCGAACCAGTCGCTCGAAACCGGCGCCACTTGGAAGAAGGCCTTGCCTCCATGCGAAGCAAGCCTACTGCCGCTGATGTCTACACTCGTTCGCTTCTTTGGGATAAGGTTGATGCCGAGGTTGTCCGTCGCTTTGCTGCTTTTGCCCAGCGTGCTCAAGCTCAACAGGCTCGACAAGCTTCCTCCAACGACTGCGAGCCCAGTGGATATGGCGATAGCGCCGTATAAACTTATTTCCTTACCCCCTTTCTCCTCCCCCGATCAACAAAATATGGAGACTTTGAGACCCACACAAACGCACTTGACGCCATTGTCTCTTTCCTTGCGTATTGCTTCCCTATATTTTTATAAGGGACTGGATTCATGGAATCCCACCTTCTCATCACCGCCCCTCCGTGATCTACATGGACCGACGCTTGATCGACTGGGTCTTCACCCACATGCTTGAGATTTCATTTGTTTTTATATCCTGTGCTTTACACCCTTCCCCAGTTGTCTGTACGCAGACGTTGCGGGTCGGATGGGCCACCGACATTATACACCTGCAATACTTTTCTTTTGTCTTAAAACAGCTTTTATTGATCGTTATATGTGGTGTGTTCTTATCTGTCCCCCTCTATTTTACCCCCCATCGGGCGGCTTCGTGTGACGTGTTTATATGTGGAGATATTATGATGAAAACGTTGGGTGGTGGTTTTCGATGATTGATTGAATCATTTGGGAGGCTTTGGAAGTCTTCTTTTTTCTTTTCGGGGAGGCTCCTCAACGGACCCGGGCTGGCATAGCGGTTGTTTTTTATCTGCTTGGTTTTTTTTTGAAATTTGCCTTTTGATTTTTAGTTTTGCGTTGATTTTTCTTAGCTCCTGTTTTTCGTTTGAGCATTTTGGTTTGGTTTGATTTTGATTTTTTTTGTTCAAAAACTCTTTCCTCGCATACATTCTCCACGGTATAATATTTTTTTTTCATTTTTTGATAAGGATATATATACCTGTGGCGGGTTTCCCAGGTTGGTCACCGTCTCCTTTGCGGCGGCCTTTTTGAGTTTTTTTGCTTTATTGTTTTTTGCTTGCAGCGGTTTTTTGAGCTCAGTTTTTTTTTTTTCCATCTCATATTTTGTAAATTCGTCTAGGGCACCTTAGGTTTGGAAATGGTTGGTTTTCTTTTTTTCTTTCTTCCTCCTGCCTAGCCTTGTTTTGCCTTGTTTGTTTTTTGCCCTGCTTTTTTTTTTCTTTTCCCCCAATCTTGAAGGTGACGAAGTTACGATGTCTACGCCGTTACGAAGCTACGAAGTTACGAAGCTTGACGACGTTATGAATAAGGAGATATTTTTTTCTCCTTTTTTTCCTTTTCATCTTTTCATTTCACATTGTCTTTTAACTTGAACACAATTTTTCCTTACCTTTTGCTGCTTGATTCCCTTTGATTTTCATTCGTCTAATGCGGTAGGGTCGTGTGGAGTTTGAGTAACAAAAATCACTGGTTCGGTTTTTCCTTATTTCTTGTTTTTCCATTCTGGTACATATTTGCTTTGGATGGGGCGGGGGAGGGGAGGAGAAGTTACTTGTAGTAAGGTAGAGATAGTAATTACTTGTTTTCTACTGAATTTTGGGTATCATATTATGATGTGCGCGAGCATGGGTGCTTGAGTGAAGTGAATTGATAGTCTAATAGTCTAATTGATTGGTTACGGGATTGAGGACGGGTTACCCGTAGGGGGTTTACCGTAGGGGGTAAGAATCGAGCTGAAAGATGGATGGATAGGGCAGGGCGGACCAGGGTAGGGCTGAATAAGAAGAGGTGAAGGCAGTTGGTTACTATGATTGCGGTAACATCGAGAACGGATGCGATCGCCCGAAAAAGGATGATTATAATACAAGGCTACCTTTTACAAAGAGGGAGAGAGTCACGGAAACAACCTAAACTAACCGGACAATAAAAATATACAAGTACCTGTACTCAAGTATATATATCCCTGCCCATTTCCGGTTAATGGATCTCAACCATTTTGTGTTGTGCCTTTACCGTACTGACTGTAGGGCTCGCTAGGGGGAATGAAAAAAAAAAATGAAAAACCGTTGGACCTGCCTCTCCTGGCTTCAAGTCTTCCGTAGGGTACCGGTAGACTATCCTACCCTATCTTTTTATTTTATTTTTTATCGGTCTGATTCCCTTGCCACCTCCCTTCCTTTTTTTGTTACCGTATTATTTATTATTATTATTATTTTATCTCAGAGGAAGGAGGGGGGGGTTCTGGAGGTCTTGGCTTGGATTTTTGTTCAAGTAACAATACAATATTCTTTGGTTTTTGTTTGGAGTGTTTGATACCGGTAAATGGGTGCAAGGATCGACTTCCTGTACTGTTTGTTAATCTAGGTCGGGCTATTCTTTTTTTTTTTTTTTTTTTTTTTTGGGGGGGGGTATAATAGGTATGATAGGTTTTGACTTTATCCTGATGGGTATTCTAGACTACGCTTAGATACAAGTGTGATGCTCGAGTACGAGAACAAAGTGAGTATCATACGAGGAGTGGAAAGAAAATAAAAAGAAATCGAGGATCGAAAATCGGAAATTGGAAATCGAAAAAGCCTCCCTTACAAGAACTAACTAAACCCGAATCTCCAATGTAATGCATCCATCCATCTATCCAACCATCAACCGCCGGTCATGTATTTGTCCTTGTATATCCTATTCACCATGTATCTCCGTTAGCCCCATCACTCCTTCCTCCATTCCCCCCCAATGGAAAAACAATAATCCCGACTAAAAATAAAAATAAAAACCCCTCTTTCTCTCCCCCTTCGGAGATCGATCGGGGCATTTCGCGGGGAGGGAGGGAGCAAAAACGAACCAAGTGTTTCCAAGAATCTTATTGCCCTGTTTTTCCGCCATACGGTAGAACATTGCGGATTTCATCTGGTGGTTGGGCTGGTTAGTTGTGACCTGCATTTTTGGGGGTGAAATAGAGGGGGAGTTGCGGTGCATGGCATGAGCATGGCATGAGCATGGCGTATGTAGCTGCCATGCTAGAGGGCAGAAAAGGAAAGGGAGGAGGTGGTGAACGGGAAAGCAGGCAGAAATGGTGTTTGTGTATGTATGTATGTATGTAGAGGGAGGAGGATATAACGGTTAATCCCCCACTTCCATCCCCTCTCCCTCTCTTTCCTTCCTTCCTTCCTTCCTCCTTTCTTCACACTACACCCCCCCTCTTTTCATCTTGTCTTTTTTTCTTTTTCTTTTTCATTTTTGAAAAGTGCAATCGAGCGAATAGTGGATGGTGGGGGTTGGAACAAACCTTATCCTTCCGACATCCAAAGCCTTCCAAATAACACCATGCGACCTCGTTCATGGCATCCGCGTCCCCAAGGTTCGCCGCTGTCTCGTAGTATTCTCGCGCCGCGACGGGATCCTTTTGCACGCCCCAGCCGTGGCGGAAACAATTCCCCAGCTCGAATATCGCGAGCACGAGCTCGCCCTTTGCGCTCCCGCCCTTGGTCATGCCGGCTTTTAGGGCTAGCTCTTCCACAGCGGCGGAATTTCGCGCGGCGGATTGGAGGTAGGTTAGCGCGCGGGGGAGGTTTGGTTCTATGCCCCAGCCATGACTATATTTTTACATTATGTTAGGTGATAATCGTGGTGGGGGGGGAGGAGGGGCTTATTTACCGGAGGGCGAGTCCATAGAGAACTTGGGATAGTGGGTTGTTTGGGCCGTTCGGATCTGCGAGACGTCCGAAGATTGCTGTAGACCTTCCTAGCTCTGTTTTCGTTAGTTAGCTTTTACCGTTTCTATCCATCTTCCCATCTATCCATCCATTATCGTAATTGATCTTGATCATGGTATTGTAATCTTCCCCGCCCGATCAACCAAACATATGCCCATGCGGGTATTGCGCAAGACAGATATTCATGATAGGGTAGAAGGGTACGTCAAATTTTCGTGCGAAATCGGGGAAAAGAATAAAATAAAAAGAGGATTATAAAGCCGAACATAAACATACCTCCGGCCTCATGTAATCGAATCGCCTCTTGAATATTATCCTATCGTACCCCGCGCGCACACCCACCAACCATCAGCACCCAACCAATTAACCAAAACCAATCCCTAAAAGAGAAAAAGTAAAAACCGACCGACCAACCAAAAAATCACCGCAAAACCTTCCCTCCCTCCTCCTTCTCCTCCTCAAGATCAAGAGGGAAGGGTGCGAGGAACGAAAATGAAAGGGAAAAAAGGGAAAGGGAAGGAGCTTACATCGCTGTGAGCAACCACCTCCTCACCATACCCCCTTGGCACAATCCCGGGACTCGGTTGCCCGCTCTGAGCAAGTTTCGCCGCCCGCAGCTCCCATTGCTGCTCTTTGTCACCGGTGCTCGAGATGCTGGGTAAGTCCGCGGGCACGTGCGCCGACGAATTGGATCTGCGCCGGGGGGATAGAGTGGAGAGGCTTAGTTTGCTGGGAGATCTGGGACGTCCGGAGGAGGAGTGCGGGCGGTCGAGTGATAGGCGGCCTTTATCTTGCTGCTGGTGCTGGTTGTGGTTATGGTTGCGATCGTGGAGGTTCAGGACGTCCTGGGTGTTCTGGGAAATGGAGGGGGGTGTCAGTAATTAGCGCTGGTGGAGAATGAAGAATGGAAAGAAGATTCATTACGGTATCGCTGCGGATGAAGGTGAACTCGGGATTTTGTGTTGGTGGCGGTGGTGTTGTTGACCCTCCTTCCTTCTTGCTACTACCACTACTTCCACCACCGTCCTTCTTGAATATGTTTTTGAAGGTCATTTCTCCTTATGTCGCGTTCTTTCCTCCGCTTTGTGAAGCAAATAAGGAAGATATTGCGAAGAGTGAAAAAGATGCTTTGTAGATGTTTTCCTTTCCTTTCTCCCTTTCCTTCCCTCCCCTTTTAGTTGTGGACAAGTACAAGGACAGAACCCAGTATATAATCGGCTCCAAGCGCCGACAGGATAAGACACGGGGTGTGCGTATGGGGATATAATAACACGGTACGATCACGGTCGCGGTATGGGCTGTATGGCGTTGTGAAAAAGATAAATTTGAACTTTCGGGGAAGGGGAGTGGAGGTTTGAGGAGAGCTTGGGGGAGCTGTAGTGTGGATCATCAACCATAACAAGAGCGTCTAAGCCCCCGCCCACATAACAAGTTACTAAACCGGGACAATACTATTTACCATCCCCCCTCTAACTTTGGAGATTTGAGAGCCTCTTCGCCGTTGTAGGTTGAATGCGGCCACAAACCCGCCTTTGGCTTACCGGTATGTTGGTAGCGAAGCCAAAAATACTTTTCTCACGAGGGTGGAGGAGGAAGGAGAGTCCGACGGAGGCTTCCTCGGCTTATTAATGGACGAATGGGGAGCTGAAAGGTAATGTTATATTAGAGACTTTGCGCTGGATGTATCCAGAATCCCTGTATGCCAAGAATTAGACATTTGGAGCTGGATGTTGAGTAGACTTTGTGGTAGATGGAACTAAATAAGTGATTGATGTCAGACCAAGTAATCAACTTAAGAGCGATTAGAATCAGAAAACAGATAAACAATTCAAACAACAAGACCATCCAAGATGAACTCCAATCATATCATCCATACTTCAATTTCAAATACCTCCTCTGAAGCCCACTCTACCTCTTACAACCAGAGTGGTTGCAGTATTGGTGGCGAAAATAGCTTGCAACAGAGTGTTGAGCAGCTCACCCCCCCATACGATAGTCGAAAGCGAGGTGCTACATGATAGTCATGGGAATACAGGGCTCTGGTCCAATAGGTACAAGCCGGTGGCCCAATCTTAAGTCAGTTAGAAAGGAAGGAAGAACATTGGAGTGAGGTTTCAAAAGGTCTTGCAAACTATAGGATGAGTCAATCATAGTCTTCCTGTAAAGATCCTATGGAGAAGTTAGTTCAATGGTATAAGGTTAGTTAAATATGTCAACTTACTTAAATAAAATCCAATAAAATATATCTTGTGAAATAGAATATTAATGTTAATACAGAAAGCAGAAACATGGTTTAAACAAAAAACAAGAATGGATGAGGAAGTTACAACACATCAAAATACTTGACGATATTATCCTCTGATACAAGTTGTTATGTAAGAATTCTGAGATCAAACAACTTGCAAAAACAACCTTGGAAAAGAAGAGGGAAGAGGGGAAGAAATTATGCCACTGCTCATTAGAAGACCTCATCTGAAAATGCTCCTTAGAATCCCATATGGCTCTGGTCAATCACAGTTCTCAGGGAACAGATATTGATGAAGACCATTTCTCCAATTCCTACATCAAAATAAATGAAGCAAGCAAAAAACATTTTTGTGAAAGAGGTTGCAGGTGTAGTTGATGGCCTTCACGAGAAGGCTAGAGAATTGAGAAAGAAAATTGAGCAGAAGAAGGAACAGGAGTGAAGGAGCGTAGCAGAACAGCATGAGCTGAGAAGAAAAATGGATTTATTGATCTAGAGTAATCAGCGAACAAATAAGTCAATTCAAATGCTTTTGAAAACTCTTGTATCATGCAATTGAAATTATACCTGTCATTAACTTACATTGTAATTCAAACTTTTCAATCAGCTTCTTCTGCTTTCATCTTCCATACTTGCCTCTCTTTCAACTATATTTTATCATGTTATCAATTCTACTAATAAATTAAAAATTTCTCCTAGTATCTTCTATACTTTTATGTTAATAAAAGAAATAAGTAATAAAGACTTTAGGCAGTTACAACTCCCTTACTATCAAGTTCCTCTACTCTCTTCTATTGGTGTATAATAGTCAATGACTGACATGCATAGTGATAGAGAGAAACTACAGCACTAGGTGAGGTCTGCGGTAGGACGTACACAAAAGCGTAAAGTAAGGATAAAAATAGCTTTGCTTGATTTTCTCTAAACTAACTATAAAGACAGGTGAACAAGTAAAATATAAACAATGTATTCTTATTATTCTATGAATCACTATCCCTATCTGTATCTCTCCAAGCATGCTACCCTTTCCTCCATCAGCTCCTATTATAACAAAGGAAAAACATGTCCAAAAAATCTCCTGTCCATCTCTGAATCTTCAAACTAATTCATTAAATCTCTGAACTCTCTGATAGTTTTCAAAAACCTCCACAATCTGTCTCAATAAACTAACATCGATCTAGAAGCTTCAATACTTATTTAAGTACTTGTGAAAAAATATAATTAAAAGTTACACCATAACAAAGTAATTATACCAAAACAACAAATGAATAGCAGGGCAGAGTGAGTAAGTAGGAACAAGTGAGTAGAGAGGCAGGAATGTGAAAAAGTCTGACCATCAAGCTGGAATGTATGATATAGATGCAGATATGTAATAAAACTCACCTACTTTATTATTACTATTCATCTATTCTTTCCTCTTTTCTTCCTTCCTCTTTTCTTTCATTCTTCCTCTTTTCACTCTTTTGTTTATTGATATATTCATCTATTTACTTATTTGTTCGTTCACTGGTTTCTTCTCTCATTTATTGATTTGGTGGTTGGTTGGTTGATTTGATTGTTTGATTATTTGTTTAATCTTTTTTTTCATCGCTTGTTCATTTGTTTATTTGATCGCTCGCCTGCTCGCCCAATCATACCCTTGCCCAATGTGCCTCATCTACTCAATCGCTCAATGCCACATCCTTCTAATTGTTTACCCAGTCGCCTGCTTGCCCACCTACTCAATCATTCACTCAAGTACTCACTCGCTCGGCTACCTGCAAGCCCAATTGCTTGCCCAATGTAATGATCCCTCCTTGGATGGTTAGTTCTTGGCGACGGGGAACGATACTTCTCTTCTTCTTCTATTTCTTCTCTTAGTCTTACGATAGCACTAGGCCTCTGCCTACATTACCAATAGTACAAGACCTCTGTCTTCTATCAGGAACGCCTATCGTAAGCTTTCTCCAACTCTTCTTCGTGAAGAGCTTTCCTTGGCGTAATGATAACGTTGCAATAAAGATAAAGATCATGAAGGTGTTTTATATTCGTTAAAGTAATAAGTAGGAAAAGTACTTAGAATTCAATCTTAATTTTATTTATACTAGTACCACCAACACTGGCATATGACCAGTCTCCCCCACACGCCATAAAACAAACTATCTAAAATACACTACCGCAGACCATTCCACCCCGCAACCGCTCCCCCCAAACATAAATCTAAAAATCACTACCTAAGTGGACTCACAGGCGCTCGCAGCAACTAGTGCTGCCCCAGATTAACACGTCTTCCCACCTCGCTACCCAGCCACCGTCTCATACCCTCACCCCTATCCAGTTCCAACACAATCTGACTCACATACTCCACAAAAGACATGTATAGTCTGTCCCAACACCCCTCCGTCCTCTTATAATACAACCCAAGATCCAAGTAATCCACTGCCAATACCACACTGCAGTAGGGGCATCGTGATTCCTTCAGTAACCCTTTTTACCTTGGCCCACCTCAAAACCACTGACGTCCATGTCGCCAGGTCCAGCTCATCCCACTGCAAATGCTGGGAGCGCCAGAATCGGTCTTGACAAATCCGCACATACCGGGGACGCCTCTCGAAGTGTTCCGTGAAAGTGGTGCATTTCTTTGTAGTAGCAGTGGCAATGGCGGTACCACAACAGGGATAATTGTACTGTCGTTGGTCGGGCAAAAAGAACCACTTCTTCAGTAGTGTCACCTCACCAGGCAGTACGCAGCTACTGCGGTTGTGTCTTTTCTCGTACTGGGTGCAGGTCGTAGGGTCTTCTATCGATACTGTCCCCCCATTCCTTTGCACTATCAGTGTGCCGTCAAAGGGATTACCCACCACAACCAGCTCCCCATCTATTAGTTTGACATGGCGAGAGATCACCAAGCCCAGCCACTGATGTTCCGTCCACCAGCACTTCCATCTTGGAACTGCTGAATCTTTATACAAGTCTTCATCAGCAGGTCGTCCTCTAGCATAGCAGGGGCACTTAGTTCAGTGGTGTCGGTTATTCCTTCCATCACAGCCATCATGGCCGACCATGCCCGTCCCACTATGGATTCTCATTAAAACGTAGGAATCTATCCGGATTAGGCCTTGGAGGTGTCGAGGCGCTTTTGGTTCTCGAGCATAGTATTCGTGTTCCTCCCTAGCATGCCAAGTCCTCCATTCCTCCTTTCGAAGCTCCCAAGCCATGGTCACATGACCTATCCCAAAGCTAACCCCATTCCAGAGGAGAGGGCGCAGAGGGCGTCCAATACATGCCTTGGCCTTCAGGTCGACCATCTCGTTACCATCAATGCCCATGTGACCCGGGACCCAACTGAAACTAATGTCTAAGAATGCATTCAACAGGGGCACCATTACCTCCCACAACTCAGCCGAGTCACTATCCGAAAACATGCTGTCAACCAAGACAAGGGCCGGCAAGTAGTCCAAGAACACATAAACTGGGTATCTCTTGGCCATATCCTGTGCGTGCCGGAGGGTACACACAATGGCAAACAGCTCGCATTTTACAATGCTCCAGGATGGGGGGACCAAGCACCCGTCAACACGGGCCAAGGCTCCTTTCTCAAATACTGCCCAGGCTACACTAGCCCCTTCTGGACACTTGGACCCATTAGTGTATATAACTACATCTGAAGATGTACACAGGTCTTTGTATAATACTCAGTGGCGTGCAGCCATCACCGCCTCGCCTTTCCCAATCGAGACTGACGGGTGACAGGCGAGCTCCTTGTCCGAACTCTACCGATGTGCCACTATGCCTTCCTTCTTCCACTGTAGCCATATTTCCCTGAACCATGGATGCTGGTCACAGTAATGGTAATTGATGAACTGACTATAACACCTCCGCTGTAGGTACCTTCCCTGAATAGCAACGGGCAGCGTTCCGAATTCGGCTAGCAATATGTTGTTTGCCAACCTCATAGGCGTTCGAAACACTGATCGGAGGCAGTCGTTAACGTGTACCTGAATATGTTTCACATACGACGCGTGGTCGGTTACAAACTTAAGCCCATAGTAGAGGGTTAGAAGGTAGGCTGCCTGCATCAAACGGTAAGTCTCCCACGCCCCTAATCCGCCAACACTCCCAA